TCAACCACTTTCTTCTTGGCTCCTTTTTTGCCGCCTTTCGTAAGGCGCTTGTTCTTGCCTACCGCCATGGTGCTGCTCAGAGAGCCAAAAGGCTCTTGCTCTGAATTTTCAACCTTCTTAGCTCCAAGTGGGACAGTGGATGATGGTCCTAGTGCCATGAAACCCGTGGCCCTTCTTCAGCCAGTGCTTGCAGGTTCTTTAGGACCAGTAACAGCCATTATGCTGGGACCTGACCAAGTGGCCAACCAGGGCAGGATGTGGAAGAGCATGGGTGTGGAGGAGCAGGGTTGGATACTAAGTGTGTGTTACTGTCTGATTTTTCACATGGGCTTAGCTAGTTCTTAAGTGCAGTCTAGGTCTGGGGTTCCTACACAGATCCTTTGTGCAGAGAGAGGTTGGGGATGCTCAGCCCGTTTGCTTCAGCTCCATCTGTAAACCAGTCATGGCTGAAGGAGCACATGGACTGAGGAGGGATATTGCTCCGCCTCCCAGCTGCATGCTCACGGGTGTGTCTGGGCTCAGCCCCTCTCAGTGCAGGTGTCTCCCCTGCCTTCCAGTGTCCAACCTGCATCCTGTCCCTTGTGCCCCAGGTCTTGCTGGGCCATCCGCCTCCGTACACTGTGGATGTTGCTGCTCCAGTCCCTGCTGTTTCCCTGCCGCCTGCTATCCTCTCCCCACCTCTGCCAGAGTTGCTGCCGCCTGGTGCCCCTGAGCTGCTGCCTCAGTTCCCCAGCTCCCTGGCTTCCACAGTGGTGTCAGCGCCTCAGGGTGTGCCCACCCAGACTGGCACACTGCTTCCGCCAGCAAACCCACCACTGCCTGCTGGACCCCTGATTCCTGGCCCCTGCCCAGCGGTGCAGTTGACAGTGGAACCTGCCCAGGAGGTGTGTGCTATTGTCCCCTGGGTCTGTGGGTCTGTACTCTCACCTGGGTCTCAGCTCTAGAGGTTGGGGGCTCCCGAGGTAGCTGATGCTCCAGGACAGCCATCCATTGCTGGCTTGTCTCTGGTACTTTCTTTTACTGTCATCCCACAGCAAGATGGAGAGCAAGAGTTTTATAAATGGGTTTGGATGATGCTTTCCCTTGGAGAGGAAGCCTGTGAAAACGTTTTTCACAAAATCTATGAGTTCTCTTAGGGATGATCAAAGTGGGTTAACAGTTTTGAAAAGGAAGCAGCCCTCAGCTTTTAGGAATCTGCTTAGCTTTAAGGCTTTGAACAAAATGAAAGCCATGGTGTGCGGTGCCCTCCTGGCTACAGGCAGAAGAGAGCGGCTGCAGCAGTGGCGAGGGAAGACTGGTGTACCCACTGCTGTGCTGCAGGGGGGTGGGAGCGCGTGACTGTTCTCTGTACTCTGGTTTTTATTTCAGGAGCAGGCCGCACAGGACAAGCCTCCTGGCCTCCCGCAGAGCTGTGAGAGGTACCTGCCCGGCCTGACCTCGGGGACGTGGGTGGGAGGCCCAGGCCTAGCCCCTGCTGCTGCTTTGCTCAGATCTTGCCTGTTTGCCCTCAGGACTCTTAACAAGTGTTGGCCCCCTTTCCAGACTTCACCCAGAGGGCCTCAGGGACCTTCTTTCAAGGTTGAGCCCTGGTGCCTGGAGCCCTCTGGCTGCGTTCTGGTTCAGTGTGCTAGGACTCTGCAGAAGGGAGAGGCTGTGGCGGACTCAGTTGTGCCCGGAGCTGTGGCCTCTGGGAGGCAGCCCAGTCCTCACTAAAAGCAGCTGTGGGAAGTGGCCCTGGGTCCTCATCTTTTTGGGGAGGTGGGGTACTTTGCAGGCTCTGCTGCAGTCCCCCAGCAGACCCGAATGGCTGCTTTGTTCTGATGGCTGTTGCATAGCTGGGGAAACTGAGGCATGAGACCCAAGTCACAAGTTAGGGTTCTGACAAGGCTAAGGTCACACAGGCAATAACTGGAAAACTTGCATTTCTGCATGGCCCCTATGCCAGCTAGGACTGGTGTAACAGGAAGAAAGGGAGTCTGGGGTCCTCTCTTAGCTGGAGGCCCACTTTGCAAGTCATAGCTTTAGGGCCCAAAGGCTTTAAAGCCCTGGGCTGGGCTGTCGGCAGTAGGATTGCTGGTCATCCGTGTCTGCTGTTCACAATCTTGGTTTTCTTAGCTATGGCGGCTCCGATGTCACTTCTGGAAAAGAGCTGAGTGATGGCTGTGAAGGCGCCTTTGGAGGGGGCAGGCTGGAGGGCAGGTCTGCCCGGAGACACCACCGCAGGTCCACACGTGCCCGCTCTCGGCAGGAGAGGACCAGCCGACCCCGTCTTACCATCCTGAATGTGAGTATCTGCTGGGGTTGGGGCACAGGGTGCAAAGATGTCCTTGATCTGATTGACCCCTTCCTGTAGGTGTGCAACACAGGGGACAAGATGGTGGAATGCCAACTGGAGACACACAACCACAAGATGGTGACCTTCAAGTTTGACTTGGATGGGGACGCACCTGATGAGATTGCCACGTACATGGTGAGGGTGGGCCCTCATGGGTGGGGAAGCTGTGTTCTTGTGTCCTGGGCACGTGCTGGGGTGAGCACATGGAGCAGGGCCTGGATGGTGGCGCTGGGTCTGTGGAGGGAGCACTGACTTCATGTAAATCACCCAGACGCCAGAGGGCAGCTTGGGGGATGTGTTCATAGTTGCTCTACCGTGGTGTTCCCAGTGCTCAGAAAAAAGGAGCAGGTTACACGCATGGGTAAAACTAGGCAGCATCCCCAGCCACTAATGTCCTATGGTCCCTGCTTAGAGCCCCTGTGTTAGTCACTTTCTCATTGCTGAAACAGAATGCTCCATGCCCACAACGTAAAGAAGGAGTAGTTTATTTTGACTTACCATTTCCTGAGGGCTCAGCCCAGCAGTGGCTGGGTGCAAGGCAGGAGTGTCATGGTGATCTTGGAGCCAGGCTGCTCAATCCATGACAGCTGGGAAGCAAGAGGAGAAGGGAGGAGCCAGGGCCAAGAACCCTTCTGGGTCAAGCACAGAGTCAGGCCATGCCTCCGATGGGACATTCAGCTGCCACAATCACTGTGGGCGAATCCACTCATGAGTGTAGCAGCCCTATGGTCCAGTCACTTCCAAATATAGGAGGCTTTTGGGAGACCTTGGAGATCCAAACTGTAACAACCCAGTGGCTCCCAGTGACAGTGCAAGCCTGAGCCCTGTGCTCCTGGCACCATTCCTCAGCTCGGCTACACTTCTGTCCAGAGCCTGCCCTGCCAGTACAGACCACTCTGTCCTATGCTTGTATTACTAGGGGTGCTGGTGGGTGCTCAGCACCTGACCTTGCTAGAAGCAGCAGTCTTGGGCCTTAGAAACTGCCCTGCTGAAAGCATACAGTGACAGTGGGATGGACGCACCACATCCGGCTCATGTATGGTCACCTCAGGTTAACACCCTTGTATGTGTGAGGGGAGGTCAGGAAATTGTGTCCTAGGAAGCAGCTGGTGTTGCTGGCCAGCGCTGTTGCTCATTACTCCACAGGGCCCCACATGCAGTGAGTAGAACTAGATGACTAGGGAATAGAATATACAAGTTAATTTAGGTTGGTAATTGAACTGTCCCATGTGAATAGTGATTGTTGCATTCAACAGCCCAGGTCTGCAGTCAGCAGAAAGCTGTGCCTTGGTCTGTGTCCCCAGCCACCCTAGCCCTCGGCTACCTTAAATTCTGATGTGAGTTTTATAGGAAAGTCCCAGGTTTACTTCTGGGACAGTTCCATGCCTCAGTGTCTGCTCCACAGACTCCTTCCTGGAGCCACGGTGCAGGTTACAGTCCCTGCTTTGTAAAAGAAATGATTCTGCACTGCAGAGGGGTGAGAAGACTTTATTTGGACCAGCTTCAGCACAGCAGAGACAGCAGGGGCGGGGCAGGGCAAGGAGTGTGGCTTACAGCCCGGCAGCAGGCCAGGCATGTGTGGGGGTGGGAGATGACTAAGGAAACCTGAGTGCTGAGCCTGTGGGAGAGTGGGTTGTGGAGGAGCTGTGCTGTGTGCCCACGCCCTGCACACTCTTCTTCAGGATGTGAGCTGGGCTGCTCACCCTCTCCTGTTGGGAGTGGACTGTCACGAACCTGCAGTGGTGTTTCTGGGCAGCTCTGCCCTCCATCTGCCCCGACATACTCGTCACTCAGGTGTCTTCCACAAGTAACATCAGGGTCTCTCTAGTGAAACTCACCACCACGCCTGCAGAAGAGGAGCCTCTCTGAGGGCAGAACAGACACTGGTATCAAAGGGGATATGAGGAATTTGACTGGATTTGGCAGCTGGGAGACTCTTGGTAATCTAACTTAGCAGGATTCTTGCCAGAGATGGGTTAGGCAGAGGACAGGAGAGAGCTGGGGTTGAGGTCTGTGGCAGAGGAGAGGTTGGAGGTCCCTGGCTAGGGTTGGGCGAGGGACCTTTGCTAGCAGCAGTTGGCTGGCTCCTCGTGTGGCCTGTGAGTCTGCACATCTCTTCTCTCATCTTCCTGAGTTTTAAACGTACCTTGCATTATGTTCTATGTACATGGCTGTCTACATGTCAGGAACTGTAATGGAGCAAACGCTCATGAAGTCATTCCCTTGGCGTCTGCCCGCCACCCTGCTAGGTCCTGTAGGTATCCATGCTGCCCTCTGCCCACCATGGCAGATGTACAGTTGTGTGTCCACGTCTCCCTGTTTTTAGCAGCTTTATACACATACCCGTGTTCCTGCTCGGCAATGATTATTTAGTGGTGAGCGTTGTAAACTTGGACCTCTTCTCATTTTTTATGCTCACATGCTGCTTCTCTTCTTCTTTGGTTCCTTTTTCTTTCATGTGCTGTTTGATGGGGCATTTTTAAGCCAACTCATCTTTTACACCTTTGTGGGTCAGCAGGGTAAAAATAAACAAATTTGGTTCGGCACACTGCTCACATGTGTCATCTTCCTCGTGCCCCTTCCTGCCCCAGAGCAGAGGCAGAGGGCGCTGGAGCAGGGTGGGTGTTGGCTGGCAGAGCACGATGCTGTTCAGACAGGCACCTCCTCTCCTGCAGCCCTCCTCCCCATGTGAGGGCCCTCAGTGCGCTGCCCCTGGCAGTTTGCCAGGGCTTGGGGTTTGTTACTTTTCATAGACCTCTTTGCCAACCCTGCCGTAAAGGAGGAACTATGGTTGTTTGGATTAAATTGGCATTAATTCCAGGTAATACCTGCACCCTATATTTTTAGGCTTTTCTCTGTGTTGGTTTGGAATACATTTTAATTTCTTTAAAAAGAAATACAAACTTGGCAGGAAGAACTCTGGGGCAGTGGCTCAGTGTTGTGTGGTGCTGGAACACCGTGTGCTCTTGCACACAGCATCCCATGCTGCACCCCGCTGATCTTGGGTGGCTTGGGCGTGCTCCCTGTACACAGTGCTGCACTCCCATGCTGCGCTTCAGCACCCAGTGAATCATGGACACCAGTGTTAGCCAGCTCCTTGTCTTAGAGTGTGTGTGGGGCTCCGCATACTCTGCAGCCAACTTCCGAGGGGCAGATGGACCCATCTCTGAAGGGGTCTGGAAAGATGAGTGCCTGAGGCAAGGGCCAAAGGGGCAGAGACGGCCTCACTAAACAAGTGGACAAGTGGACATCTGTCCCCAAAGGTCTTTGTATAGTTCTCTAGACTGTGATACACCACATCGCATCTGCCTAAGTGGCTGAGCACCCGAAAAAGCATAGTAAGAGCTGGGGGACTGTGTGCCCATGTGGGAGTTGGGACAGAGACCTTGACTTGGTCCAGAAGCTGCAGTGTCCAGGCTGTGGTGTGGGACCTCCTTTTGGGTTCCCCTTGCTTGCCAGGGCCTTGGCTGCTGCTGCTGCTCCAGGGGCTGGCAAGGCATGGAAGCTAGTCATCTTATGTGTGAACGGTACCTCTGTGAGGAGTAGGTGGGTCACATGGCCTGAAGAACCCTTGACCTTAGTTGGTGAGAGTGGACGCTGATGGCGTGTGAATGCTGCACTAAGGAGAGATGGCCACCTGTGTGGACATGTGGACTTTGTGGACTGACTTTGGAGTTGTGCTCTCTGGATTCAGCTCCAAGAAGAGCCCTGGAGCTGTGGGGAAAGCTTTGTGGTGAATGACCAGTGGAAAGCTAGTCTTAAGTTGCTCTGGGGAGAATAGGCGTGGGCTCGAGAGTCCAGATGGCAAACTCCCAGAGTCACTCCTGGGAAGCAGGATATGCTGGGAGCCCCTGCAAGGCCACTTTCTAGACACCAAGCCCCACTCACCCATGTGCCCACCGAGGCTAAAGTTCTGATGCTGGTATGGAGAAGCAGCCAGTGGCCGCTTCACAGCTTTACCATCCTCCAGGTCCATCCTGTCCCTGAACAAACCAGGCTTTTCACTTCTCAGCCTGCTAGGTGTGTGCCCCCAGGACACTCTCCCATCCCAGTCCCAGTCCCCTCAGTCCTGTGCATCCACACCCTGCTCACAGGTGGCTAGAGGATTTATGATGAGCTGTGGCTCAGGACAGGACAGTACCATATTGGCTGCCTCTCTAGGTGGCCTTCACCTGTTTCAGCCACTCTTGGCTGCCCCAGGAATGTCCTCTTGTGAGGTGCATGTGCTCTGTTTTCTGGGACCGAGGACAGGATGGAGATCTTTATGTTTCCTGATAGAGGCCCAGGACAGCTATGGCCTGTGGCAGGTGGTCACAGCTGCCCACATCCCCTCATAGGTGGAACACGACTTCATCCTGCCAGCTGAGCGCGAGACATTCATCGAGCAGATGAAGGATGTTATGGACAAGGCAGAGGACATGCTCAGTGAGGACACCGACGCTGACCGGGGCTCTGATGCAGGAACCAGCCCACCACCCCTGGGCACCTGTGGCCTGGTCGAGGGGGAGGTGAGAACCCTGGTTCCAGGAGAAAAGGAGTAGTGGCAGGAAGCTGTGGACAGACTGTGAAGTCTGCTGACTTCCTATCCTTCTCTCCTGCAGGAGGGCAGACAGTCCCCAGCAAATGCCCCTGTGTACCAGCAGAACGGTGAGTCTGCCCCAGCTGCTTCTGGTGCCCTTTCACAGCAAGTGCTATAGCTCAGGGAAGAGCCATTTCCCCAGGTCCTGCCTCTGTTCTGCAGCCAGTGCTCGATAGAAGTCCCCCTTGTGCACAGCTTGCAGAATAAGGCCTCCCCTTCACTGGCATCACCACCTCTATGGCTGGTTCCACAGGTGTGTCAGGAACTATGCCCAAACTGGGCTCTCTAGAGTGCTGGGATGCCAGGAAGATGCTGCTGGGCTGGCTGCCCACCCCTCTTCACTGTGAGATAAGAGCAGATGGGATCCCCTCACTGGGGACATGGGGACCACTTGTGTCTAGAGGGTCACTGTTTAGGATTATGATGGGAATATGGCCTCCTTGCTCTCATTCTTCTGAAGAAAACCCCATAGGTACAAACAGGCTCCCCTAGAGCCCCATGCAGGTTTGGTGTGGTGACAGGCATCGCCTAGGGTAGAGAAACATTCGCTGTCTCTCAGCATACTGTTTATACTCTGCTTCTCAGTGCTCCACACGGGGAAGAGGTGGTTTATCATCTGTCCGGTGGCTGAACACCCAGCAGCCGATGTCCCTGAATCATCGCCCCCACTTCCTGTAAGCTCCCTGAAGCCAGAAGCCAGCCAAGGTAGGAGTACCAGAACCCCCACCTCCCACCCAGCTCCCTCTCTAGGTACCCTGTGGGCTTCTGTGCATCCTTTTGTGGGTGCCTTGAATACCTGGTGCTGTGTAGTCCCTGTCCCCCACAGGGCTGCTTTCCAGTGAGTCAGTCAAGTCATGGCAGCCCTGGCTCCAGTCACCATCTAGGAATGTGTGTATAGGCCTTCCTGCCTACCTGGTGACTCTTGCATCCCGGCCTTCCCATGTGACAGTACATCTGTGGTGAACATATCCTGTGGGGGCAGCTTTGGATGGCTGCAGGGCACCAAAGACCCTTTCATTCGAGGGACTACCTGGTTTGAAACCATCTACATTGGCTGCAGCCTATGGTATCAGTCAGCACCTGGGCACACATCTGTCCACACAGATGACAATGGGCTCTCCCTGGGCTGTTGGTTAAGTCTTAATTTTTATGGTTCTTTGAGAGGCTGAAAATAGTCATTTGATCAAACATAAGGTTTATTTTTCTTATCACTTGAGAGGAAAAGTTGCTGCTTAAGTAACTTGGTCTAACATCATGGCATATTCATAAAAATACTTATGTTTTCACCCCCATAAAAATACTTACGAATCAATTTTGATTTCCTATCATGTGTTTGCAGTGACATGCATTATATTTTGATGATGTAGTATGTTGGGGAGAAGGTCAAGGTCAGGCTGTTAGTAAAAGCCCCAAAAGCCACACAGAGGCAATGTGCTCTCTGGTCAAGGGCAAGAGCCCAGGCTGTACTGAGAAATCATGGACTCACCCTCTATCTGAAAGACTACTTTTAAAAATGAGAATGTCTTGGTGTATTATCTCTTGATTATAGTGTGTCAAGAAACAGGTGTAAGAAAAGTCCCTTTAAAAGTAAAGATAAATTTTCGTGTGCCATAGGGGCAGTGTAGTAGGAAGTTAAACTCACAGGTTTACCTGCCATCCTATACCTACACACCAAATGATCTCTGGGAACCTTTCACAGCTGTTTCTTTGCCTGTGGAAGGAGAGAGGGAGGGAAAAAAAACAAGAAAAAGAAATGTGGGTGGCAGGTATGTTCCCTGGCTTAAGCACCCACTGAGGGTGATTACCAAAGCTGGATGGGTTATGAGAATCATCTGCTCAAAGGCATGGGTAATCTGAAGATAGTGAGGAATTATCAGGCTTGCCTGAGGGCAGGACCAAGGATGGAATCTCAGTCTGCACCCCTTGCTTCTGGGGGCATCTCCCATTTCTACAGGAAAGGCTGAGTATAACTTCAGCTGCCTCACTGGATAGAGCCGGGGTATATAGTCCAGGGACTTGAGGAGGGCCCTGCCAAAGCTCTGCCCAGCCGCAGGCAGTATTCCCTGGAAGAGATAGGGCTACACCAAGGTGTCTCAGCCCTTCTACAGCCAGGAGTACAGACTGTTTTTCTGCATGGAAGGAACATTGTTTTGGATTTCATGTGACTGTACAACAGGTTGTTTTAGTGTACTATCTGGTGCATAATGGAACAAGCACTAGGCAGAGAACTGGGTTCTGGATAAGATGCAATAAGTACAAACATCAGCCTTTGTCATCACTGAACTGCATCATAAATCTTGGAAGAAGCATCACCCACCTGAGTACCCTGGGAAGAATATTAGCAGAGGATGAGGGAAGCAACCAGAATTAGTTCCACTGAGCCAGCAGTGAGTTTAGCACATTGTCTTCCAGTGTGTCCCAGCCTGAGCCTAGTGGAGCCTTTGGATGAGATTTGAGTTCTGTGATGCCCACAAGGAGAGCTTTAGGAGAGACCTTCTAGTTCCAGCTCACAAATCAGGAAAGGAAACTGCTAAAGCTCACAGATTTCCTTCCTTCCTGAGATCTGCCCCTCTGTGCACCAGCCTGTAGATAAGTCAGTGGGTAGCAGGAGGTAACCAGAGCCTAAAGGAGGCAGCCATGTGACAGAGGGCCCTTTCTGTTGATGGTAGACAAGGCCTACAAGCATACTCTAGGCCTGTTGCTTTTTTCTTTTTCCCTTTACTGTGCAGCCCTGCTTGGCACAGTCAGAATTGAGTGGTTTCTGGCCAAAGGTTCAGAACAGGAAGTCTGAAGGAACCAGGAAATGCCAGAGAAGGTGGGAGGAGCTGTGGGAAGCAGCCCCATCAAACTGAACTTCTGGGTACGCCCCCAACCTATGAGTGGATGGAACTGACCTAAATTAGCCAATAAAAGCCTTGCAGAAACTTTATTGAGGTAACATAGGACAGTCCTATGCAGGTTCTGGACTGTCCTCTAAATGACATACACTGGCTTCAGTTAGATTAGTTCTCCAAAAACATTGAAAACGGAACCAGCCTGTAACCACAGCCCAGAGAAGGTAGTCTGCACCTGACCAAGTAGATTGGCTGCTAAAGCAAGCATAACAACATTCACTATAGGACTTAAACAACACTCAAGGTTTCATTATATCATTCAAGCTATTCAGAATAGAGTCCAAAATTACTGCACAAGTGAAAAACTAGGCAAGTATCAAGTTACATGGACAAAGCCAAGAATAAAATGATATAGATGTTGGGGTGGTCTGATAAGAACTCCAAGCAGCTTTTACAAATATGTCTGAGCAAATAATTGTGAACATTCTTAAAATAAATGTTAAAGTGGAAAGTATCAATAGAAATACAAGTTCCAAAGAGAAAACAAATAGGAATTTTAACACTGCGAATTAAAATTAGTGAAAGTATCCAACTACATAATAGGGAAGAAAGAAAGAAAAAATGAACAGAGATTTGAGAACAAATAATAAAGTCTAACATTTCTGTCAGAGTTCCGGAAGGAAAGGAAAAAAGTATAGTACTAAAAAAATTTGAAGAAGGGCCAGCAAGACAGTTCAGCAGACTAAGCACCTGCTTAGGCAAGCGCAGGGACTGGGATTTGATCCCCTGTACCACATGCCTTGTCAGCCCTACCCCGGGCATGCTGAGCTGGCCACCAAGTCTGGGCATGGTGACACACGCCTGTCATCCCAGTGCTGGAGGCTTTAAAACAAGAGGATCACTATGAGTCATTGCTGTATAGTGAAACCCTGCACACACACACACACACACACACACACACACACACAAAATTGAAGAATGCAGAACACTTTCCAAGTGCAATAAAAGCATTAGAGCTAGAGATTCAAGAAACAAAGCAGACATCAAACAAATTAAACCAAAGAAATGCATGCCTGTATAACATTATCACTCTGCTAAAACGAAAGACAAAGAAAAGATTGTAGAAGCAGCCAGAAAGAAAGTTATGTATTGCCTGGAAGGAACATTGATCCTGATGACCATGGATTTCTTATTAGAAATTATGGCATCCAGAAGGAACCGGCGTAGCATTTACAAAGTGCTTAAAGAAAAGAACTGGCAACCCAAAATTCTGTTTTCAGGGCAAATGTCCTTTAAGAATGAAATTGAAATAATGCCATTCTCAAATAAAGGAAGGTAAGAGAATTTTCATCTGGTATACCTGTTCTAAAAGTGTTGCTAAATATCTTTAGATAAAAGGGAAATGGTACCAGAGTGTAACTTGAAAAATCAAGGGTAAAGGAAGGGATAGCAAGTATCTGGGTGAATATAGTAGACTATTGGTTTTTTTTGTTTTTTTTTTTTTTTTTTTGAGTTCTCTGAAGCATGTGTGTTGAAATTTTAAAAATTTAACATACAATCATGTTTCAATGTACATGAGTTCAATGTGATTATAATGTATAGCACCACCCTGATAAGGCAGGAAAAGGGACCTGCAAGTGTTCCTACATTCCAACTGAAGTGGTGAGTACCAATTCTAAGTAGATTGGAAAGTTGGGAATTCCTAGAGTAACTACCAAAAGATTGCTCAGAGATATAGTCAAAAGTCGGAAGAGATAAAATAAGATGAACTAATTAAAAAGAAGTCAAGAAAAATGAGGATTTTTTTAAAATGCAGAAATTGGGCAAAGTAACCTCAGAGAACAAACAAAATCATATACTTTAAACTTATAAATGAAGGTTTAAAAAATCTTAACCATCATTTAGAAGAGATTATGAGAATCACTTTAAATTCTCAAAAAAGTGAATTGAGTTTAGGCTGTCTACTAGATGCTTTAAATAAATGATACATGCAGGTTAAAGTAAGGAGGATAATTGAAAGTATCCAACTACGTAATAGGGAAGAAAGAAAAAAAAAATGAACAGAGCCTTGAGAACTTTAAATAATAAAGTCTTAACATTTCTATCAGAGTTCCACAAACAGTGGAAAACACACCTCAAAAGAATGCTGAAGTGGCTATTTCTATTTCAAACAAAATAGGCTTCAGTGTAAAGAAAAGTACCAGAGTTAAGGGATAATTACACATTCATAAAGAGGATCCGATAAAAAATAAATAAAAAACCAGCAGTGTTAAATATGTAGGCATGCAATGACAGAGTTTGAAAACTGACAGACTCTAAAGCAGAGGTGAACAACTCACGACTATAAGTGGAGACTTCAGCATTGCCCATTCAGTAAGAGATAAAACAGAAGAAAATCAGCAAGGATACCTGAGGTCTGAACAACAGGAACAACCAACTTGGCGTGTTATTTATAAGAACATTTAACATCAACAGGACACTTTTATTTTCAGTACATATAGAAGTTACCATATTCTGGGTTATAAAGCAAAAATCTAACAGGGCCAGTGAGATAGCTCAGTGGACTAAGTGCTTGCTTAGGCAAGTGCAGGGGCTGGTCTTCAATCCCTGTCACCATGTGCCCCACTGGCCCCGCCCCTGGGTACGCTGAGCTGTTCTCCAAGTCTAGACGTGGTGACATGTGCCTGTAATCCCAGCACTGGGAAGGCTGAAAACAGGAGGATCACCATGAGTTCGAGCTGCGTGGTGAGACCTTGCACAAAAAACAACAACAACAAAAAAGAAAAGAAAAAAAGAATTAATATTATATGAATCATGTTCTCTGACAAAGTGTAACCAATAATTATATAAGAGTTGTAAATTACCTATGGA